AGCCCCCGCCTCTCGCCCGCAGGCAGCGCGCCCCCGGGGCGGGTCCCGGAGGGCCTGATCCGCGTCTACAGCATGCGGTTCTGCCCGTTCGCGCAGAGGACGCTCCTCGTGCTCAAGGCCAAGGGGATCCGGTGAGAGCCCGCGGGGCGGCTCCTCCCGCCGCCGGGAGCTGCGGGGGGNGAGGCCCCTGGAGCTCCCTTTAGGCAAACTGAATCAACATGCTCTGCCCTGGCGCCGCGAGTTCTGGGCCCTCCCTGCGGAGGCAGGAGGCGCGCAGGCGCCAGCAGCCAGGACGCCCGCTTGGAGGAACCGTGTTTCGGACGAGAGTTGGGCTCCGGGGGAGGGTGTGGCCGCAGCCGCCCTCTTAGCTCCGATGGGGCCCCGATTCCTGCTCAGTTGCCCTTCCGCTTTCACCAGACTTCTCCATGCATGGCCGGTGCATGTGACTTTGGCGGCTGTTATTCTGAGTGTGCGGTTCCCTGCTCAACAGCCGGTTATTTACCCCCGTGCAGAGTTCAGGCCTTGACTCCCCGGCCGTGCGCTCAGTTCGCTCTGCTGTCCACAGTCCTAGGGGTTGGGTTGTTGACTTAGCCCAAGTGTCTCTGCCTAAAAGCGCAGCCTTTTGTGAAGCCTCATTGAAACTGGCGTGTGGTTTCGAACCTGGTTAGCCCCAGGAATTATGCACTGTCACTCGGCTTATCTCTGGAACGAAGTCTCCAATAGAACTGCCCCCTTTCCAATGATCCTTGGAAATGATCCATTAGGTATCTGTGATGTGGAAGTTTAAAATGTAGCCCCCATTCTTAAGAAATTTTCCATCTATGTGTTTAGGGTTTATTAATGAATTTTAGTCTTCTAGGGGGAGAATTGGGCAGGCAATGCCTTTCCCTAAAGGAAATATTTTTTAAAAACCACCCAAATTTATGGATTAGCCCTCACTTCACTAAGGCTGGCATCTTATTTGGATGAAATTTAATTCTGAACACATAGCAAAATGCTCAACATTTAGTAACATTTGTCCAAAACACTGTATTTTATCTAAATACTATATTTGCTGTATTAGTCAGAATTCATTTATTTCGAGAGAACTCCAATTCAAATTGGGCTGAGGAAAATGACAAAGCTTGTGCTCAGAAAATTGAGAAGTCCAGCAGCAAGATGCCGCTGACTTTGGGGCACCAAGCCCTGGGTTACGTGCCCCTCTGCAACTCTAGGTTGAAGGCAACTCTACCTTCCGCCCTGGGAGTTCTCCAAAGAATTGAAATGATTTTACCATAATAGTGTGTGTATGGGGGGTAAAGAATGGTTCAGCTGCCAGGTAGTACAAACAACAGAGGCCTGCTGCATTCATGGATCAGTTTTGAGTCCCAGGAGACTTTCATCAGAGAAGTGCTAGATTTTCACCACCTGGTATATACCTAACAAAGCATGGTTTTCTTTAAAAGGTGCATGTTCCAACTTGTGTCTTGTTGACTCACAATGCCAGGTTACCACCAAATCCGTGTGTTCTTAGAACCTACTTTGTCACATAAGCCCAGGATCTACCTTTTGTTTTTATAACATACACTTTCAGAAGTATTGACCTTCTTTTTCTTGCAGTGGCCTATGTCTGTGTGCCCAGTATTCTCAGTATGTGAACCTTTCACTCACACACACACACACACACACACACACACACACACACACACAGTGTTTCATCTGGCTACTCCTTTGTTCCCATGGGTGATTACATATTCATATTCTCAAACTAAATGCTGTTCTAGCTATTGTGGTGGATGGGGAAATAGGAAACGAAAGGTGCTGGCGTATGTGCTTATTAATATGAACAAGTCACGGAAGATCTCTGCTTGCATAGATCTTATAGTCTAGGGAGTTGATATAATAAATGGGTAAATAAATGATCAAAGTAAATTCAGATATATATCAGTTCAATGAAAAAAGTAAAACAAGAGGATCACGTAATGGAGGCTCTCAGAAACTTAAGAATGGGTGGTCAGGGAGGGCCTCTCTGCGCATGTGGTGTTTGACCCGGGAAGACAGGCAGAGGAGCCAGAGGACCTGTAAGTGCAAGTGCTCTAAGGTGGGTACCTGTTTGGCAAATTCAAGGCATATAAAAAAGGCCAGTGTGGCTAGATCGTAATGACCAGAGGGAAAGTCGTAGGAAACAGATGTGACAGGTAAGCAGGGACCAGATCAAATGTGCCCTGCATGTCATAGAAAGTGATTTAGAGTCATCCTCTTTGCAAAGAGGAGCAACTGAAGGGTTGCAAGCAGGAGAGTGGCCAGATCTAATTTACTTTTGTCAAAGCTCCACCTGGCCATGTATGCAGAAGGGACGGTAGGGAGGCCGCAGTGGGAGCTTAGAGGCTGGTGGGGAACTGTTGTAGAGGTTCAGGTGGCAGATGATGTTTTGGATGAGGTAGCAGTAATAAAGCAGAGAAATGAATAAACTCTAGCTGACGGGTCTTGCTGATCTATTTGACTTGAAGAGGGGCCAGGGAGGTGGGTAGGAATCATAAACCTGGGGTCTGATCAGCTAAGTGGATGGTAAGACCAGTGAGGACTCATTCAGAAGTACAACAAATGTTTCATTCTCTTCATTGTCTTCCGTGTGTCTTTCAGGCATGAAATCATCAACATCAACCTGAAGAATAAGCCTGAGTGGTTCTTTAAGAAGAATCCCGCTGGTCTGGTGCCAGTTCTGGAAAATAGTCAAGGTCAACTGATCTGCGAATCTGCCATCACTTGTGAGTACCTGGATGAAGCATATCCAGGGAAGAAGCTGTTGCCAGATGATCCCTATGAGAAGGCATGCCAAAAGATGGTCTTTGAGCTGTTTTCTAAGGTGTGTGTAGAAGAAATTTCAGCTCCTATTTGAAAAATCTTTGTTTTTGAAGCTACATCAGGGATCATTTATGGTTCAGTAATTTGGGAAAGAAAAAAAAGACAGGATTATGCTTGCCTGCCCCGATGTGTCCTACAAGCCCTTCCTTGATCTGTCCCTGTTTACCTCTCCAAAGCTATCGCTCTTCACCTTTCTCCTGACACACTATACTCCAGCCATGCTGAATGGTTACCATTTTCCCAAACCTGCCACCTTCTCAACTCTTGCTGGAAGACTCTTCCCTCTTCTCTCTTTGCCTGGTTATCTCAAAATCCTCTTTCATGTAATCTGCTCAGATACTGCTGCCTTCCAGAAGCCTGTCCAGACCTCATGAGTGCCCAGCTCTGTGATCCCACAAGTACTAACATTTCCCTATCGGTGACTGCCTGCCTTAAACCTGTGTATTGTCCCAGGGCGTGAGCTGCTTGAGGGTGAGGGCAGTGTTCCCATCACTGATGACTCGCTGTCTAGGTTTGTGACCAGCTCTGCCTCTTCCGAGTTGTGTAACTTGCTTAGTTACTCATTGCTTTACCTCTGTGTCTCAGGTCATTTGTAAAAGGACTATAAATGTTCCCTCCTTATATAAAAATCAATTAATCTAAAACACTAAGAGCAAAGTCCGACATGTTAAATCTCAGTGTTAGTTCTTGCTGTTCTAGCCAGTGTCTAGCAGCGATGTCAGTAGCTCTCAGCTGACTGAGTAAATGGCAGTCCTGTAAAAGAACTGTTTGTATCGTAATTAGCATCGTTATTGCAGATTACTTCAAGCAGTTAGTATTCACAAAGAAATGACCAGTAGTAGCAGGCAATCAGAATAGCAACGTCAGGTTATAGCTCTATAACCCTGTTACCTTGTCAGCACGTATCAACATACACAGAAATATCTCGTCTTTAGAGAAATAAATGGTTAAAGAAATACTGTGAAGATGGGACTTATAGGGAAGACTTATTGTTTAAGGAGACAGTGCAAAGGGAAGCCAATGGGGAAGGAAGAGGAAACTGGCTTAGCAGGATGAGGGGGGAAGAATAGGTGAGATGGCTGCTGTCAAAGATGATGGACAGGGAATAGGCCATTTACAAGAAAGATGGCGGAGACTTTAGAAAAAAGGTAATAAGAGAATCATTGTACTGTTTAGAAAGTAAATGAGCTAAAAGCTGGAGATACTATTGCTTTCCTGTTCACATTCAGGAAAGAGGTGGTCTTAGGTACCATATGACCCCACCCTCCTGGCCACAGCCCAGCAAACCAGAAATACGCCCACCTGCACCCCCAGCCCAAACATCTTCTCTCCTAGAAACTGGAAAGTGAGACAGACTAAGACAGTAAAAGTGGGGAGGCTTCATTTGATATATATATATAGAGAGAGAGAGAGAGACAGAGACATATATATATGTAAAAAAAAATTGGAGACTTGACACACTAAAGCCACATAAAAAATACCGCAAAGGGAACTGTATGTGGGAAATAAGATGGAACAGACATTTGAGGAGAAGCAAGATGAAAAACCGGGCAGGAAATGTGGATGGAAGGGCTGCCTGCCAACCTTCAGCTGCAGGGAGGGCAAGCGGTACTGACACTGATGGGATTTCAGGGGATTCTCCCATCCCATCGATGTCACTTTATTTTCACGAGTGCCTGTCTACTTAAACTGGATGAGTAGACTTCTGCCTTGCAATGAGGTGATACCAAAGTATTAAAACACACAAACACCTCTACCGCAAGCCTTAAAGCTGTGACACTACACACCTGTCAGGTCTTTAGGTGGTCAGTCCCCTTTGAACAGTCTTCTCATGTCCTCCCCAAGGTAGAAATCAGAAAAATTCTCTTTCCCAGCTCCCTTTGCAGCTGGGGCCGAGGCCTGGGACTGAGGCTCTTTCTGTCATACACACATGGTATAGTTCAGAAATGATCAGTGTGAGGAAATAGGCTTGGTGTAGGGCGCGGGTTCTGCTGGTGATAGTGGCTGGTGGCAGAGCTTCTGGCTTTCAGGGGCCGTGGTGGTTGCAAGATTAAATTCCAGAGTAGAAATGGCTTTGGTGCTAGTGGCATTAGTTAACTGAGTCATTTTCGGCGGTGGCACAAACCGTATCCTCTAGTTTCAGTTCATTGATCACAGTGGGTGCTTTTCGTCAGGCCAGTTTGCGCATGATTTTTGAATGCCCCAGCTTAGTTCTGAGCCTATCTGTTCAGCCTCCAACAATTCAACGAGACATTCAGGGTCTGTTAAAGGTATTTTTGGCTCAAACTTGCCAAAGTGGGTTCTGTTATTTGCAACTTATAAAATCCTTTTTAAAACAGCATCTTAGGTGACAAAACTGTTTATAAGATCACTATATGACCTCTGTGAACACAGGAATGGGTGCACCCTTGAAGCTTCTAGAACACTCTGACACTGGGACAATAAGGGTTCTATCTGGCTTTTATGTGAGGCTGGTATGCTTAGTCTCCTGCTGATAAACTAAGAAATTATTCTCTGTCTAGATACCATCTTTGGTGGGAAGCTTTATTAGAAGTAAAACTGAAGAAGACCGCTCTGGCCTGAAAGAAGAATTTTGTAAAGAATTCAGCAAGTTTGAGGAGGTAACCAATCGTGCCTCTTGGCTTTTATCAGAGTAAATGATACACTATATCTACCCTTTTTTCTACACTTTTTTCTTCATATTCCCATTTCCCAAATCACTTTATAGCAATTAGTAATAACACTGACTAAGAAATTTTAGTTTATAACAATCCGTTATAACAATCTGACATAAGCTGTGGGTTTAAGATATAAACCAAAACACCTAAAAATATTTTGTCATGGGCTTGCTTTCAAAATTTTTTGTTGCATTGGTGTAAAATAAAAAGGAAATTCACTAGCATTTCTATAACCTGTCACCTTTTTTTCCATGCTGTTTCCAGTCCTTGTCCATATATTTAAAAAAATTAACATAACTGTAATCAGAGCATAGATACCATTCTGTGTTCTTTTACTTAGTATTATGTAACAAGCATTTCCCACCACTAAGAGTTTGCCATGAATCAGACAGACAACTGGCAAAGCCCAGATGTGTTTTCCCTCCTTTGGGGGAGAACTGCTGATTTGGGCCTTTCGATCAAGTCTTCCTCTGGCCCTTGAGACATTCCAAATACTCAGGCAGATTTAAACAATTAGTTTACAATGAGGACTGTTATATGGACCCTGAAAAAAACTATAGAAGGTTTATAAGGGTAAATTGGTTTGGTGTTGATTAATCAAATAATATTCTGAGATTTCCCCCTTTGACAAAACCAGAATATCAATTTACCTTCTTAAATTTCAAATACATACTGTTTGTGCTTTGTTTTAAATAATTTTATTTAATAGTTAATCCAGTTATCCCCAGTATATTTTAAGTAAATTATTTTACTGAAGGATTATATGGAAAGAAGTACCCAAAGCATAAAAGTACAGCATTTTTACAAAGTGAACAGAGCCATAGAGCCAGCACCTATATAAAAAAACAGAATGTTAGTTTTGGCTACTTTTTGTTATACAAATGGAATCACATAACATGCACTCTCTTGGGTCTCGCTTCTTTCACACGGCATGAGGTTTGTGGAGACCGTCTGTGTTGTGTGTAGTTCAGTCCTGTTATCTGCACAGTGTCCCGGTGTATGTCTGTACCATAATTCTTTTTACTCCTATAGACAGTAAACACTCCCACTTTGGGGCCGTGACAAATAATGCTGCAGTGAACATTTTTACACATATCTTTGGGTGAATATATGTTCACAATTCCAAGTAGAATGACTGGGTTATAAAGCAGGCATGCACTCCGCTTCAGTGGTCACTGTTAAAACGGGGTGCCCATTTCCATCCTATCAGCAGTGGCCCCATACCATGGCTAACTCTGTCTTGTTCATTTCAGCCATTCTGACAGATGTGTAGTGGCATTATATTTTGGTTCTAATTTGCATTTCCCTGGTAACTAATACAGTTGAGCACCTTTTCAAATGCTTATTGGCCATTTGGACATCTTTTTTTTTTTAACCAGTTAGCAAATGTACTAAAAGAAATTATCTGAATCACGGTGGACATCCTTGTTTGTGAAGTCTTGCCCAATTTTCTAATGGGTTATTTGCCCTTTTTCTTGATTCCTAGGAGTTCTTTCTATATTCTGAATACCAGTCCTTTGTTGTATTATGAAGATCTTGCACTCTGTCGCTTATTTTTTTCTCCACTTTCCAGTTTATTTTGTTGATTGTTTTGTTTCATCTCAAACTAACAGATTCTAAAGCTTAAATTGATCAAACAGACAAAAAGTGAACTTGGATATGTCAGGGCAAAAGCTGTTGCCCTCACCACTCTACTTAACTCACCTCCATCATCTCTGATGATGAGTCTTTCTAGATGCACAAATAAGTACTCTTATGCTGTTGAATGTTCAGGTTTTGACCAATAAGAAGACAACCTTCTTCGGTGGCAATTCCCTTTCTATGATTGATTACCTCATCTGGCCCTGGTTTCAACGGCTGGAAGCACTGGAGTTAAATGAGTAAGACATTTGAATATTTTGTGCATAATTTAGGGTAATGATAATTGGAATAGTATATGTTGACCTTTTTTTCTGAACAAAAATTAGAATATTTTATGTAACTGTTATGAATGGGAAAAAGCAGACAGGAGGAAAGACTTGGGCATGTCATATACCTATAGTCACCACTGCTGCCCATCTCGGGGAGGAGGCAGGAGTTCTGTGACATACAGCAAAACGTTTTAAAAGTAATTTACTCCTTCCCTCCCGGGTAAAAATCCATAAGGATAGTTTGGGGGAGGGGCTGGATGAAAAAGGTGAAGGGATTAGGAAGTACAATTGGCAGTTACAAAATAGTCATAGGGATGTAAAGTACAGCATAGGGAATAAAGTCAGTAATGTAATAACTACCTATGGTGTCAGATGGGTACTAGACTTATTGAGGGATCACTTTGTATCTTATATAAATGTCTAACAACTATGCTGTACATCTGAAAATAATATAATATTGAATGCCAACTATAGTTGAAAATTTTTTCAAATCCATATGTACATTTTTATAGGGCTGTCATGCAGGATTGTATGACCAATGCTACCTCTCATTTACCAATAAGATTCCCATACTAGGTTCCAAGCTCCATATTTTGAAGGTTGGTAGCCAGTTGGGCTTACTCTCCCTTAGAGCTTAGAGCTATTCTTTTAAAAAAGTTTTTCTTAAAAATTTTTATTTATTAAAACATTTAAAAATTTTAAGTATAGTTGGTATACACTATTATATTAGTTTCAGGTATACAGCATGATTTGACATTACTATACCTTACAATGTGATTAACACAGTAAGTCTAGCAATCATCTGTACCAAGCAAACTTATCACAGTATTATTGACTATATTCCCTTTCACCTTTATCACTCCCCCATACTTCCCCCCGGCAACCACCAGTTTGATCTCATTCTTTTTTAAAAAAAATTGTCAATTACAGTTGACATACAATATTATTAGTTTCAGGTGTACAACATAGTGATTGTACATTTATATAATTTATAAAGTGATCATCCCGATAAGTCTAGTATCCATCTGACATGATACATAATTACATTACTGACTCTATTCCTTATGCTGTACTTTATATCTCTGTGACTGTTTTAAAAACTGGCAATTTGTACTGCTTAATCCCCTCACCTTTCAGTTACAATCTGGCCATAGATGGGTTGCCTTTCATGTTCTCATTTTAAAGTTATCAGTCTCTCAGTTTGGAACAGTTCTTATGTTAACTGAGCAAGTCACTTGTCACTTCACTTTAAGATTCCTGTTCCATAAAGCAAAGACTTTTACAATATCTTCCAAAACAACTACAGCTATACCTCGGAGATATTGCAGGTTGGTTTTCAGACCACTGCACTAAAACAAATGTTGCAATAAAGTGAGTCACATAAATCTTTTGGTTTCTCAGTGCATATAAAAATTATGTTTGCACTAGCCTGTAGTCTGTTAAGTGTTCAATAGCATTATGTCTAAAAAAATGTAAGCACCTTAATTAAAAAGTGCTTTACTGCAAAAAAATCCCAAGAAACGCTAACCATCATTTGAGCCTTCAGTAATCTTTTTGCTGGTGGAGAGTCTTACCCTAGTAATAGCAATGATCAGTGATCACAGATCTCCACAACAAATATAAAAATAATGGCCCTAGCCCGTTTGGCTTAGTGGTTAGAGTGTCTGCCCACGGTTTAAGATTCTGGCCAAGGGCACATACCTTAGTTACAGGCTCAATCCCTGGCCCCAGGTCAGAGCCTGTTCAGGAGGCAACCAATCGATGTGTCTCTCTCATATCGATGTTTTGCTCTCTCCCTTCCACTCTCTCTGAAAAGCAATGGAAAAAATATCCTTGGGTGAGGGTTAAAAAAAAAAAAGGCAAAAGTCTGAATTCTGAGAATTACCAAAGTGTGGCATGGAGACACGAAGTGCAACAAATGCTCTTGGGAAAACCGTACCAATAGACTTGCTCAATGCAGGGTTGCCACAAACCTTCAGTTTGTAAAAAAATGTAGTATCTGAGAAGCTCAACAAAGAGGCATGCCTTATTCTACGATTATGTTCATTTTAAAGAAATACTTTTATAGAACTACTTTAAAAGGTTAAAGGAGAACAAAGTGAAACTGCAGAGTGACAATGACATATAGACTTTGCAATGCCTTCGTTAGTCTAGCTCACACCTTCATGCCTTCCATCTCCCACAGGTGTGTAGACCACACTCCAAAAATTAAGCTCTGGATGGCAGCCATGAGGGAGGACCCTGCAGTATCAGCCCTCTGGATTGATGTGAAGGCCTATCGAGGTTTCCTAAATCTCTACTTGCAGGACAGCAGGGAGGCCTGTGACTATGGGCTCTGATGGAGGCAGGAGCCAACAATGAAGAGATGTCTGACTCGTTCCTTCACTAATACAAATAATAACATGCTTTTATTGTACCAAGTGCTCTCATTTCTCTCTGGATCACCTTCTGAGGTGACATCATGGCCCAGCGGTGGGCTTTCCTTAAGGCCCTCCAGCAGAAATGTAAACACCTGTCCTGCTCAAGATGCTCAAAAGACTCTAAGATTTCTATCGGTCTGTGCTGAAAACCTCTAAATCGTCCTCTCTAGTGAGATCTAGGCTTTTGTCTAGATTTCTAACTGCCCGTAGGACATTTCCACTTGGATACCCCATTGTCGTTCCGAGAGATGCCCTTTCAAATTTCTCTGAGGTTCTGAACTGAGCACTTTCCATTCCTCACCCTTTGCGTCATCAGAATTCCGCTCCCTCTCTCATTCCCACCGTCACGCATGGAGATCAGACCCACATCCCCTCCAAGCCAGGTGAGTAGGTGGCCGCCTCCCGGGTCTCCAACACCCAGTCTCTCCCCGCTTCAAATCCCTCTCACCAGACCCGGCGCTGGGCGCACGGCGGGCGTCGCAGGTGCGTGAGTAACGCCGAGGCCCCGCCCCGCGGCGCGGCGCGTGGGGCTCAGCGCGCAGCCTCAGAAACAGCGGGCCGTCCTCTCACTGATATCGATCCTCACGTCACCCTGAGAGGAGGCAAGGTCAGGGGGCATCGCTTCACTCTGCCGACGGTTCAGCTAAGGTCCTGAAGTTAGGGGAGCCGCCAAACGCTGGCTCAAGTACCTGGAGAACACACCCACACCCTGCTCCATCATTATTAAGGGGCCGTTGGCCCGCCGGCCCCAATACAGTCTGGTTTCTCGTGCTTATTCTTACATGTGAGGGCACCTGTCAATCACCTACGGCGCACTGCTGCATGTCCGAGTCCGTAAGTGGGTCCTGGGTGGGCCACGTTTGCAGAGAGCCCCCTCC